GGAATTGGGAATGGCCAGTCTAGAGAAAAGAAGGACCAGGGGGGACAGGATAGCAGCATTCCAGTATTTGAGGGGCTGCCCCAAAGAAGAGGGAGTCAAGCTCTTCTCCAAAGCGCCTGAAGGCAAAGACAAGAAACAACGGATGGAAACTGATCAAGGAGAGAAGCAACCTGGAACTAAGGAGAAACTTCCTGACAGTTGGAACAATTAACCAGTGGAACTACCTGCCTCCAGAAGCGGTGGATGCTCCAACACTGGAAGTTTTTAAGAAGAGACAGGACAGCCATTTGTCCAAAATGGTATAGGGTTACCTGCCTGAGCAGGGGGTTGGACTAGATGACCTCCAAGGTCCCTTCCAACTTTATTATTATTATTATTATTATTATTATTATTATTGTAGCGCTACCTCTTCAGAGGCCGCCAATGCCCAGGCCCTCCCAGCCACAACCCCCCTTGTCCAGCCTTGCGGTAATGTTCTTTAGAGATCGGTGAGATGTCTTACAACCGGAACTCATGCAGCGTTGATGGGTGGCAGGCTCTTCTTGTTGAGGCAGGACTTTCAGGCACGAACTTAACCGGTCACAATGGTTGATGCCCCGAAGATGTATATAACAGCTCAGGGCTGCTTTAGCAGCAGGAGTAACAAGCCCCTGAGCAGTCGTTCAGAGTCCGATGAAATGGGGGGGGTAAACCCCGGCTCCAGATGGTAATAATAACAATGACGGCCAGTATGTTATGGCAATGGCTCATCCCCCAGGGCAACTCCCCCCACAATGTCCCGGCACCTATGCCAGCAGCGATGGCCACAGTCCAGATGCCTCCAAAGTCCACAACAGCAGTTGGCAGCAACAGTTGGCACCACCAGTCTCTCTCCTCCTGGTGCTTCTTCTCTGGAATTCCTCCTCAGGTCTCAGGACCCAAAACCACCCCCCTCCCTTACTCTTTATTAATAAAAACCGAGGCTAGAAACCCCAGCCAACTCCCTTCCTTCACACTCTCGCTTGCCTCCGTTTCAGATATCCTCCCACGGAGGAAGCAATAAAACTTCACTCTATCTAGCCTCTATTTAAAATACCCTTGATAGAAAAATAAAATAGGCCTCCAGACCTTCTCTTCTCAACTCCAACAAACACCCCGGCCTTCTCCTTTCCTTTCCTTTTCTATCCTTCCTCCTTCCACTCACGCCAGCCACACCCAAAGCCAACTGCAGCTGTCCCAATCTTTCCCTTCCCAGTCAAGCTCCTGCAAGCACTCTCAGGCAGTCCCCGCTACATTATTATTATTATTATTATTATTATTATTATTATTATTATTATTTCCTTGTTTTTCTTCTTTGAAGAAGTTTTGCTTCTCATCCCAGAAGTTTCTTCAGCTCTGACTGGATGGTGGAAAAGGGAGGGATTTATATTCCTTGCAGACAGCTGGTCATTTGCCTTTTAGAGGGTCATTGAGACCACTTGGAGGTTTATCTGTGTCCTCAGGGTCACCTGAGTGGTGCAAATGGGTGTGGAGCCTCCTTACAACTGCTGAAGGGACTGTGTTGTTCCAAGAAGGCTCCACAGCCATTTGCACCACTCAGCTGACCCTGAGGACACAGATAAACCTCCAAGTGGCCTCAATGACTCTCCAAAAGGATGCAAATGACCAGCTGTCTGCAAGGAATATAAATCCTTCCATTCCTCACCATCCAGTCAGAGCCACTTCTGGGAGGAGAAGCGAAACGTCTTCAAAGAAAAAACGAGAAAGTCCAGTTGCCTCTGGAAAAAAGCATCTTTAGGGCCTGAGTGTCCACAAGGATCTGAAAAACTGAATTACGAAAGGAGAGGAATCCTTGCTCGCTTCAGGTAAAAACCAGGGAATGCCATTCAAACCACGTCAGTCAGAGAAGGGACGGGAGAAGCTTTACAACATGTTCAAGGTTTATTTCAGGGCGAATATTTCAAGTTTCGTCAGGCCCTCATTTAAATGGCCCAAAAGTGCTTTCCCAAAGGGCAACTGGACTTTCTTTGTTTTTTCCTTGAAGATGTTTCGCTTCTCCTCCAAAAAGCTTCTTCAGCTCTGACTGGATGGTGGGGAAGGGGAGGATTTATACTCCTTGCAGACAGCTGGTCATTTGCCTCCTTTCAGAGAGTCGTTGAGGCCACTTGGAGGTTTATCTCTGTGTTCTGAGGGTCACCTGAGCGGTGCAAATGGGTGTGGAGCCTGCTTGGCTGCAGGATGTTTTTCTGCCCTGGGTCCCTTCCCTGCTGCAGACGGGTACAGGCTGTTGGGGACGAGTCCGTGTTGTCTGCATCTCAAACTGGAGCGCAAACGGTTCCTGGAGTCTGCAATGTTTTCTGCGAATCTGTTCATGCTCCCACACCTTCTGAAGGGCGTCCATCCCAAAGAGCGCAAATGTCTATGGAGATGCTCAGTCATCCAGGTCCTGGTTATACTCCTTGCAGACAGCTGGTCATTTGCATCCTTTTAGAGAGTCGTTGAGGCTGCTTGGAGATTTGTCTGTGTCCTCAGTGGTACTTTTCAGGAGGCAAATTGCAGACTACAGGAACAAGGCAGAGAACATCCTGCAGCCAAGTTGGCTTCACACCCATTTGCACCACTCAGGTGACCTTGAGGACACAGATAAGCCTCCAAGTGGCCTCAACGACCCACTAAACGAAGGCAAATGACCAGCTGTCTACAAGGAGTATAAATCCTTCCCTTCCCCTCCATCCAGTCAGAGCTGAAGAAGCTTCTTGAATGAGAAGTGAAACGTCTTCTAAGGAAAACAAGAAAGTCCAGTTGCCTCTTGAAAAAGCACCACTGAGCACACAGATAAACCTCCAAGCGGCCTCAACAACTCTCTAAAAGTATGCAAATGACCAGCTGTCTGCAAGGAGTATAAATCCTTCCATTCCCCACCATCCCAGTCAGAGTGGAAGAAGCTTCTTGGATGAGAAGCGAAACGTCTTCTAAGGAAAACAAGAAAGTCCAGATGCCTCCTGAAAAAAGCACCTTTGGGACAACCCTGACCTGGATGACGGAGAATCTCCATAGACATCAATTTTGGTCGTAAGCCGAGGACCACCTGTACATTGAGTCTCGTCCCACAGAAAAGAGGATTTAGAACAGAGCCTCGACTCGCGTGACCGCAGCGTGCCTGCGGTCACCCGCTCAAAACTCAGAGCTGGACGGAAACTGACCCAGAACGACTCGGAGAAGCCGAATTGGCAGCCACCTACCGAAGAGAGGCATGGGGCTGGCCACTTTGACACACTCTGCAATGTATTCCCAGTCTGCCATCTTTGTGTACCTCTGCTCTCTCGACCGGCCGTGAAGCTAGCAAGGTCAGGAAAAAAAAAAAAGAAGGTGCAGTTGGCGCCGATTAAAATAAACACCGTGTCATGTGTCTGATTAACGAAACACTAAAAAGGACTTTCAGGCATATTTTCTCCTAAATGCATTTATTAATGTTACAGATACGTCAGCACAACATGGAGGAAATGCTTAGGACTGGCTTCTTTTCCGCTATGCATGTATTTCTAAGCATTTCCCTCCCACCTTTCTTTGGGGTCATGGTTCACATCTTCCAATCAACTTGGAAGATGTGATTTACTTCCGGTTTCTTTTCCCCTTCTGCCTGGTTTAACTATAAAAATGCCAGACAGCTCTGCATGTTGTCAAAGCAAGAATATACAGTATTTGCAGCGTTGACACACCGTCACGTCTGGATCCCTTGGCTTTGTCTAAGTCAGGGGATCCCCCAACTTGGCTTCAAACTCCCAGGATTGGAGTTTAAACTCTCTAAATTGGAGTTTAAAGTCACATGCGAGCTGGGGAATTCTGGGAGTTGAAGTCCACGGTCTTAAAATTCGCCAAGAAGCAAAGCAGGAAACCCCTCCCTTTTCTCTCTCTGGATCTTTGCCAGGGAAACCCCAGGAAGAGGAAGGACGGGACAGGAATGCTACCATCCTCTTCCTCTCTAAGACCCCTCTGATGGGGAAATGGCCAAGGAAGAATTAGCCCTCAGATCTGCCAAGGTGAGTAACCAGGCCTCCATCCCAACCGGAGTTAAGAAAAGCAGAGCTTCCTATACCGTCACCAACGAGGCTCCCCATTCTCGGAGGTTGGGGATCACTTTATGAGCCAGGTTCGTTTTCTCTTGCACGCCTGTCCTGATCTTCACCGTCAGGGGAACATCCAGGACCTGTGAGGGAGAAAGAAAGAAAGAAAGAAAGAAAGAGAGAGAGAGAGAGAGAGAGAGGGAGGGAGGGAGAGAGTGAGGAAGGAAGGAAGGAAAACAGAAAGAAAGGAAGAAAGAAAAAAGAAAGAGGAAGAAAGGAAGGAAGACAGAAAGAAAGAAAGAAAGAGGAAGGAAGGAAGGAAGAAAGAGACAGAAAGAAAGAGAAAGAAAGACAGAAAGAAAGAAAGAAAGAAAGAAAGAGGAAGGAAGGAAGGAAGGAAGGAAGGAAGGAAGGAAGGAAGGAAGGAAGGAAGGAAGGAAGGAAGGAAAAAGGAAGAGACAATTGAGCTGCTGTGCTGTCCCACTCACTCACATGCACACATAAAAGTAGGTTAGTGATTTTATTAATATTCCCCAGCAATTTCCTTCACCAAAACCCTAGAACTGTCCCAATTAAGTCCAGCCACACAACCAGCCACACAAGCAAAGCAAAGTCCAGAAGACACTTGAAAGTTTCCCAAACCAGATAAATCCACCACAGGCAAAATGAAATCCACACCACAAGAGGGTTCACGAGACAAGAAAAGTCCGGCGTTCACAGTCCGGCACAATCCAAAGTCAAGGCATGGTGTCAATCCAAGGCAAGGCAAGACTCACAATGGTCAGAAAACACCCAGCTGGGAAAGGAACACAGCACTGCCTCCATCTGTCTGCTGTGCTAAAGGCGCAGCCCATCAAGAAGGGCGAGACTGCTTCCTCGCGAACAGTCGGGCTGACCTTCTCTGCTCCTGCCTTTTCTCTGCCCTACGTGTTCTCGGATCAGGTGCAGAAGGCAGTTCCTCCTCATCACTGACCGGCTGCAGCTGCCTGCTTTCCCCACCTGAAGCCTCGGGGCTGTCCTGCTGCAGCTGTGCTTCAGCCAAATCCCTCTCAGCCGGCTGCTCAGAGCCACTGACCCAATTCCCCTCCAGACGTGCCTGAAACTGGTTCATCCTCCTCCGAGCTGACATCGGAAGAGGCATCTGGGGGGAGTCATCACAGCCAGGCACTTTGTTTGAGAATCCCCTGCTCAACAGAATTTGCTTTCTTTCAATCTGCTGTTTTTTAGCAAGGCAAGAAGCCAAGGATCCGTTGCCCACAGTCGAAATAAAACAACAGGATCACGAGAAGGGGACAGGACGATTCAAGCTACAGAGCCCACCTAATTAAATCTGGAGAAACACACGAGCTGGACAGGGCAGAGCCTGATTGTTCACGCCGTCCAGTCCCTGACACATTTTGGGCACGCTTGCTGAAATGCAGCCCGGCAAAAAGGAGAGTTACAACCCGTTAGGAAAAGAAGCCTGTCAGACCGGCCTCAGCTTGAGCCTCTACTTATAATAATAATAATGATAAAGTTGGAAGGGACCTTGGAGGTCATCTAGTCCAACCCCCTGCTCAGGCAGGAAACCCTATACCATTCTGGACAAATGGCTGTCCAGTCTCTTCTTAAAAACTTCCAGTGTTGGAGCATTCACAGCTTCTGGAGGCAGGTAGTTCCACTGGTTCATTGTTCTCACTGTCAGGAAGTTTCTCCTTAGTTCCAAGTTGCTTCTCTCCTTGGTTAGTTTCCATCCATTGCTTCTTGTCCTGCCCTCAGGCGCTTTGGAGAATAGCTTGACTCCCTCTTCTTTGGGGCAGCCCCTGAAATATTGGAACACTGCTATCCTGTCACCCTTCGTCCTTCTCTTCCTTAAACTAGACATACCCAATTCCAGCAACCGTTCCTTATATGCTTTAGCCTCCAGTCCCCTAATCCTCTTTGTTGCTCTTCTCTGTACTCTTTCTAGAGTCTCAACATCTTTTTTACATCGTGGTGACCAAAACTGGATGCAGTATTCCATGTGTGGCCTTACCAAGGCCTTGTAAAGTGGTATTAACACTTCACGTGATCTTGATTCTATTCCTTTGTTAATGCAGCCCAGCACTGTGTTGGACTTTTTGGCAGCTGCAGCACACGGCTGGCTCCTATTTAAGGGATTGTCCACTAGGACTCCTAGATCTCTCTCACAGTTACTACTATTGAGCAAGGTACCCCCTATACTATACCTGTACATTTGGTTTTTCTTAAAGGTATAGTTTACTAAAAGTTAAGCGGATTACAGTAGTTCAAAGTCAGAACTGAAGATCACGCGCCAAAATCTTTAGGAGGTCTAACTTTTCCCTCCCTTAACTGCCTCCCATTCCTGAATGCAGCAATGCAGCTGCGTTCTTTTCCCAGCCGGGTGACCTTGAGGCAGCATCTCAGGGAGATTTAGACGCTACTTTCGCTTTCCCCTTCCGATCTAGTTCCCTAGAATTCATGGCAGCTGATACTTAAGGGTTGCGAGGTGCCAAGCGTGAGGTGGCAGCTGACAAAGCCGTTAGTAAAAGACACCAAAAGAAGAGTTTCAAGCAGTTAGGAAAAGCAGAAAGAAGACGGTATCGATCCGACACCGGCAGGAATCGGCTGGAGAGATGGCCGCTGACTTACGGAGTTCATGCCGCGGACGATTTGCTCAAACTTATTGTTGCGGGTCATCAGAGCGCATCCACCACCCTGGGAAGGGAAAGGAAAAGGAGGGTGAAGAGCATGTTCAGAGATCACTTATTTATTGCCTGTGTTATTTTGATCAACAATTCAAGGCGGTGAACGTAAGTCTTTCCTCATTTTCCCCAAAACGACAAGCCTGTGAGGCGAGTTGGGCTGAGAGAAAGCGACTGGCTCAAGGTCACCCAGCTAAGGGTGGGACTAGAATTCACCGGCTCCCACTTTCTAATCCAGGTAATCCTCGACTTACCACCACAACTCAGCCCAAGATTTTTTGTTGCTAAGTCAGTTGTTAAATGAGTTTTGCCCCATTTTACCTTTCTTGCCACAGTTGTTAAGTGAATGTGGCTTCCCCATGGACTTTGCTCATCAGAAGATAATAATAATAATAATAATAATAATAATAATAATAGTAATAAGGCCTTATTAGGAACTGCTTCCATCCTGCAACGATATATGTAATACCATCAAACATTCACATCTGCCTATCCCAGGTCCTTGGGAAGGACTTGATAGGTAGACAAAAATGCCAAATCCAGTCTGAACATCTGGCTGACTGTGCGATGATCAATAATAATAATAAAGTTGGAAGGGACCTTGGAGGTCATCGAGTCCAACCCCCTGCTCAGGTAGGAAACCCTAGACCATTCCAGACAAATGGCTGTCCAGTCTCTTCTTAAAAACTTCCAGTGTTGGAGCATCCACCGCTTCTGGAAACAGGTTGTTGCGTGACAATGGGGGGAACAGGACAAGCCACTAGTATATAAATCGAGAGCAAACACCCCCCCCTTCTAGCCCTGATGATGTTACCTAGTTAGGTAATGAAACGTCTGCAAGAAAAGCACCAGGCTCAGAGAGCGCCAAGGGCCCCACAGTTTAACCCTGAGGTACCAATATTTCCCTCTGTTGGTGCGATGGTATGTCTGGCAAACGGGAGTTGGTGAGGCAGCCATTTTGAAAATGGGCACATCCTTCTCCTTGGCAGCCATTTTATAAGACTTCTCAAGGTCGGATTTCAAGGCAGGGAGATACGGTGGCTTAAAAGGACTGTCCACTGTGGCGTTAACGTAACAACCTCAACCTACACAAGTACAAATGTGTCGTTTTCCATACCTCCTTCTTTACTGATTTCATCCCATTTTCCTGGGCGGGTCAAGAGAGGGAGAAGCCCATAATAATAATAATAATAATAATAATAATAATAATAATAATAATAATAATAATAATAATAATAATAATAATAATAATAATAATAATAATAATAATAAAAGTTGGAAAGGACCTTGGAGGTCATCTAGTCCAACCCACTGCTCAGGCAGGAAACCCTATACCATTTCAGACAAATGGCTGTCCAGTCTCTTCTTAAAAACTTCCAGTGTTGGAGCATTCACCGCTTCTGGAGGCAAGGAGTTCCACTGGTTAATTGTTCTTAATTGTCAGGAAGTTTCTGGCTTTCTAAGCTGTCAGCCCTTTGAAGAAGGAGCTGACCTTTACAGTATTAGCCAATAAAATGCAAGCTTTACATCGGCCCAAAACGACCCATTACCTTGTTATAGACCAGGTCAATGGGGCACCCCACGTTAATATCCACAAAATCCACCTCGATGGTTTGGTTCAGCAGCTCCGCGCATTTCGTCATGGTGTCTGGAAAGGCTCCTTCCAGCTGCAAACAAAGCAGACGCCCAGAGTTAGAATAACTCTCACAGAATAACCGAGTCGGAAGGGACCCGGGAGGTCTTCTAGTCCACCCACTCCCCCCTGCTCAAGCAGGAGAGCCTACTCCGTTTCAGACAATTCAGAGATCATCAATTCAGACGATTTCAGGAATATATCGTTCTAGACCGGCAATTCTCTACTTAAATTCATTCTAAGAAGCCAGGCTTGGTTTCTCACACATTCTGGGTTGAGCACTGTGTGTTTAAGGGGAGAAAAATTACGATCCCTGCAATAAATCAATGGGGTCATTTTAGAGCCTTAGTAGATTTAGTCAAGCTATTCTCCAAAGCGCCTGAAGGCAGGAGAAGAAGCAACAGATGGAAACGGATCAAGGAGAGAAGCAACCTAGAACTAAGGAGAAACTTCCTGACAGTTAGAACAATTAACCAGTGGAACAACCTGCCTCCAGAAGCGGTGACTGTGCCAACTCTGGAAGTTTCTAAGAAGAGACTGGACAGCCATTTGTCCGAAATGGTATAGGGTTTCCTGCCTGAGCAGGGGGTTGGACTAGATGACCTCCAAGGTCCCTTCCAACTTTATTGTTGTTGTTGTTATTATTATTAGATACTGGGAGCAGACAGAATAATAGATCTGGAAGGGACCTTGGAGGTCTTCTACTCCAGAGTTCCCCAGAGTTGGGGAGGGGGGAAAGAAGGGATGGTTTTGTGTGTGTGCGTGTGGGGGGTGAACACATGCCTGTGCCTGCACGCATGAACACCCGTTGCTCGGGTGAGTGGGGCCGCGAACACCTGTGACTCTCGTGGCAATGCTTGCGCAAGTGGGGCTGTGCGCATGTGCATACACACAACGATCAGCCACTCACGCAGCCCGGTGGCCAACAGGCTACGGCAAAGTAGTGGGCTGCGACCCCAGCTTGGAGAGCCCTGTTCTAGTCCGACCCCTGCTAAGACCTTGTAACATTTAATAATAATAATAATAACAACAATAACAATAACAATAACAATAATAATAATAATAATTGGAAGGGACCTTGGAGGTCATGTAGTCCAACCACTGCTCAGGCAGGAAACCCTATACCATTTCATACAAATGGCTGTCCAGTCTCTTCTTAAAAACCTCCAGTGTTGGAGCATTCACCGCTTCTGGAGGCAGGTAGTTCCACTGGTTAATTGTTCTCACTGTCAGGAAGTTTCTCTTTAGTTCTAGGTTGCTTCTCTCCTTGATTAGTTTCCATCCGTTGCTTCTTGTCCTGCCCTCAGGCGCTTTGGAGAATAGCTTGACTCCCTCTTCTTTGGGGCAGCCCCTGAGATATTGGAGCACTGCTATCATGTCCCCCCTCGTCCTTCTCTTCGTTAAACTAGAATTACCCAATTCCAGCAACCGTTCCTTATACATTTTAGCCTCCAGGCCCCTGATTATTTTTGTTGCTCTTCTCTGCACTCTTTCTAGAGTCTCAACAGACAAGTGAGTATCCAGTCTTTTCTTAAAAAGCTCTAGCGATGGAGCACCCACAACTTCTGGAGGCAAGGAGTTCCACTGGTTAATTGTTCTCACTGTCGGGAAGTTTCTCCTTAGTTCTAGGTTGCTTCTCTCCTTGGTTAGTTTCCATCCGTTGCTTCTCGTCCTGCCTTCAGGCGCTTTGGAGAATAGCTTGACCCTCCCTCTTTCTTTGGGGCAGCCCCTCAAATACTGGAAGGCTGCTATCACGTCCCCCCTCATCCTGCTTTTCATCAAACTAGACCTGCCCGATTCCTGCCACCCTCTCCAAGGCAGACCCCCATTTCTGCTGCTCCCCCTTTTTCCGGATAAGGTGTTGGCTGCAAGGAGGAAGCTGAGCTTCACGGGCGAAACTCAACCTGAGCTGAGACTCTCTCGGGCCCCGGGACCCAGTTCCCACTCCGCGCCCGGAAGCTACCTGAACCCCAAAGAGGTCCTCGGTCTTGTGCCGCTTCAGCAAGGCCCATTCGGACGACTGTCCCTGAAGCAGGTTGGTGCAGACCGCCATCTCTCCGCAGGTGACGTCCGCCCCGTAGCCTTTGCATACCCTACGGAAGGGCAGGTTGCCGCACTGAAATCCCAGGAGAGACAGGAAGGTTAAGGCAAGCCAGGATGGGTTCACATTTAGAAACGGGGCTTTTTGGAGCAATTGGGGTCTGGGGTCCCCAATGGCATTGGCCCACCCCACTCGCCCCATCGGAAGGGGCCGGCTGCAGACTCTCATCGGTCAAGGAATTCCAGCCGGTGGGGTCCAGAAGAACCTTTTACGTTGGGGCTGCCACCCTCTAGAACAGAGGTAGGCAACCTTGGCTCTTTTATGACTCGTGGACTTCAACTCCCAGAATTCCTGAGCCAGCCATGCTGAGGAGAAAGGGAGAGGTTTCCAAGCTGAGCCATGCTGGCTCAGGAATTCTGGGAGTTGAAGTCCAGGAGTCATGAAGGGGGCCATAGTTCCCCCATGCTGGCTCAGGAATTCTGGGAGTTGAAGTCCACCAGTTATGAGGGGGCCATAGTTCCCCCATGCTGGCTCAGGAATTCTGGGAGATGAAGTCCACGAGTCATGAGGAGGCCATAGTTTCCCTCATGCTGGCTGAGGAATTCTGGGAGTTGAAGTCCACCAGTCATGAAGGGGCCANCCGAAATGGTATAGGGTTTCCTGCCTGAGCAGGGGGTTGGACTAGATGACCTCCAAGGTCCCTTCCAACTTTATTGTTGTTGTTGTTATTATTATTAGATACTGGGAGCAGACAGAATAATAGATCTGGAAGGGACCTTGGAGGTCTTCTACTCCAGAGTTCCCCAGAGTTGGGGAGGGGGGAAAGAAGGGATGGTTTTTGTGTGTGTGTGTGGGGGGGGATGAACACATGCCTGTGCCTGTACGCATGAAAACCCGTTGCTCGGGTGAGTGGGGCCGCGAACACCTGTGACTCTCGTGGCAATGCTTGCGCAAGTGGGGCTGTGCGCATGTGCATACACACAACGATCAGCCACTCACGTAGCCCGGTGGCCAACAGGCTACGGCAAAGTAGTGGGCTGCGACCCACAGCTTGGAGAGCCCTGTTCTAGTCCGACCCCTGCTAAGACCTTGTAACATTTAATAATAATAATAATAATAATAATAATAATAATAATAATAATAATAATAATAATAATAATAATAATAATAATAATAATAATAATAATAATAATTGGAAGGGACCTTGGAGGTCATGTAGTCCAACCACTGCTCAGGCAGGAAACCCTATACCATTTCATACAAATGGCTGTCCAGTCTCTTCTTAAAAACTTCCAGTGTTGGAGCATTCACCGCTTCTGGAGGCAGGTTGTTCCACTGGTTAATTGTTCTAACTGTCAGGAAGTTTCTCCTTAGTTCTAGGTTGCTTCTCTCCTTGACTAGTTTCCACCCGTTGCTTCTTGTCCTGCCTTCAGGCGCCTTGGAGAATAGCTTGACTCCCTCTTCTTTGGGGCAGCCCCTGAGATACTGGAACACTGCTATCGTGTCCCCCCTCGTCCTTCTCTTCGTTAAACTAGACATACCCAATTCCAGCAACCGTTCCTTATATGCTTTAGCCTCCAGTCCCCTGATCATCTTTGTTGCTCTTCTCTGGACTCTTTCTAGAGTCTCAACAGACAAGTGAGTATCCAGTTTTTTTTTAAAAAGCTCCAGCGATGGAGCACCCACAACTTCTGGAGGCAGGTTGTTCCACTGGTTAATTGTTCTCACTGTCGGGAAGTTTCTCCTTAGTTCTAGGTTGCTTCTCTCCTTGATGAGTTTCCATCCGTTGCTTCTCGTCCTGCCTTCTGGTGCTTTGGAGAATAGCTTGACCCTCCCTCCCTCTTTCTTTGGGGCAGCCCCTCAAATACTGGAAGGCTGCTATCACGTCCCCCCTAGTCCTGCTTTTCATCAAACTAGACCTGCCCGATTCCTGCCACCCTCTCCAAGGCAGACCCCCATTTCTGCTGCTCCCCCTTTTTCCGGATAAGGTGTTGGCTTCAAGGAGGAAGCTGAGCTTCACGGGCGAAACTCAACCTGAGCTGAGACTCTCTCGGGCCCCGGGACCCAGTTCCTACTCCGCGCCCGGAAGCTACCTGAACCCCAAAGAGGTCCTCGGTCTCGTGCCGCTTCAGCAAGGCCCATTCGGACGACTGTCCCTGAAGCAGGTTGGTGCAGACCGCCATCTCTCCGCAGGTGACGTCCGCCCCGTAGCCTTTGCATACCCTCCGGAAGGGCAGGTTGCCGCACTGAAATCCCAGGAGAGACAGGAAGGTTAAGGCAAGCCAGGATGGGTTCACATTTAGAAATGGGGCTTTTTGGAGCAATTGGGGTCTGGGGTCCCCAATGGCATTGGCCCACCCCACTCGCCCCATCGGAAGGGGCCGGCTGCAGACTCTCATCGGTCAAGGAATTCCAGCCGGTGGGGTCCAGAAGAACCTTTTACGTTGGGGCTTCCACCCTCTAGAACAGGGGTGGGCAACCTTGGCTCTTTTATGACTCGTGGACTTCAACTCCCAGAATTCCTGAGGCAGCCATGCTGAGGGGAAAGGGAGAGGTTTCCAAGCTGAGCCATGCTGGCTGAGGAATTCTGGGAGTTGAAGTCCACGAGTCATGAGGGGGCCATAGTTCCCCCCTGCTGGCTGAGGAATTCTGGGAGTTGAAGTCCACCAGTCATGAAGGGGCCATAGTTCCCCCATGCTGGCTCAGGAATTCTGGGAGTTGAAGTCCACCAGTCATGAGGGGGCCATAGTTCCCCCATGCTGGCTGAGGAATTCTGGGAGTTGAAGTCCACGAGTCATAAAAGAGCCCAGGTTGCCTACCCCTGCTCTAGAACGTCATGCACCCGATACAGTCGAAATACAGTAAATAGCGGGAAAGATGCGGAAGGGTAGAGGGAGTAGAGAAGGGAGGGAAGGGAGGGGAAAAAAGGCATTGACTTCCGACTTCCTTTGGTGCAATAGAGTACCAACTTCAAACCTCCACTTTTCTCCCTTACCTCACTTTTCCCTTCCCCATCTTTTCCGCTATTTACTTTGTATTTAAACTGTATCGGGGGTCCACGATATTCTAGAGTAGGGGTAGGCAAACCTTGGCTCTTTTAGGCCTCGTGGACTTCAACTCCCAGAATTCCTGAGCCAGCCATGCTGAGGGGAAAGTGAGAGGTTTCCAAGCTGAGCCATGCTGGCTCAGGAATTCTGGGAGTTGAAGTCCACGAGTCATGAAGGGGCAAGGTTTCCCCCATGCTGGCTCAGGAATTCTGGGAGATGAAGTCCACGAGTCCTCAAGGGGGCCATAGTTCCCCCCATGCTGGCTCAGGAATTCTGGGAGTTGAAGTCCACCAGTAATGAGGGGGCCATAGTTCCCCCATGCTGGCTCAGGAATTCTGGGAGTTGAAGTCCACGAGTCATGAGGAGGCCAGAGTTCCCCCATGCTGGCTCAGGAATTCTGGGAGTTGAAGTCCAGGAGTCATAAAAGAGCCAAGGTTGCCTACCCCTGTTCTAGACGGTGGGAGCCGCAACGTAAAAGCTTTGACTTTGCATTTCGATTGTTTCGTATATTATAAACGAATAAAACTTTCAAAAGAGAACATTGTGCATCCCCAAGACCTGCACCCCTCCTTTTAGCCTTCCTGAAGGACCCCAGAAACCTGGCTTTCCTGATTTGGCCTGGGGCCCTGATGGACATGGGTCATTCTGGAGGGGGGGGTTAATGAATTCAAGACCCCCCCCAACTCTACCCTCTTGTATACTCCTCCTCCACCTTGGCTAATTTTCCGTTCGTCAAAAGGGGGTATTTATTGCTTCAATCTTCTATCGTGGGTAGTAGCCCTTGGTGCACGACCACAATTGAGACCCCGGTTTTCTGTCGCTAAGCGAGACAGTGAGCTTTGCCCCGTTTTTACCACCTTTCTTACCACGCTTGTTAAGCGAACCACTTCCATTGTTAAGTTAGACACACGGGGTTAAGTGAACCCGACTTCCCCGTAAACTTTGCTCGTCAGAAAGTCCCAAGAAGGGATCATGTGACACCCCCCCAGGGGGCACTGCGACCGTCATAAATACGAGTCGGTTGCCAGCTGTCGGGAGTTTTGATCACGTTAACCACGGTCGTTAAGAGTGGGAAACGGCCCTAACTCCCTTTTTTCGGTGCCCTTGGAAGTTCGAACGGCCACTAAATGTGTAAGCAATGGTTGTAAGCAATGGAAATTTTGGGCTCAGTTATAGCTGTTAGGTGTCTCATGCTAAGGATTCACAAGACGGTGGGGGACACCTCCCTCGCCCCCGAGAAACCCAAGGGAAGGGGGAGAGCAGAAGCCCCCCGGGACAGGGAGGAGAAGAAAAGGGATCCGTGGATGACTTCAGGAGAGAAGGAAGCACTGTGGGGGAAAAAAAAAGGATTTAAAAAAATGGCTCTATCCTCTTCTGGAAGTAGGTAGCCCAGCCAGAACGGCTCAGCTGTTCTCCTGGCTTCTCCCATAAACACGTCAACCTGAGCTCCCATCCTGAGCCTTTTAGCTGTGTTGGCAAACTGCACACTTCAAGCCAAAGAGTGTCTCCTTACCGTTGTCAGGGGGGCCAAATAGAGCTTGCCACGGAGGTCCAGCTGGGAGAGAAACGCAGAGAGAGAGAGAGAGAGAGAGAAAAAAAAATGGGTGAAGGCTAAATAAACGCGCACAATGGGGAAAATCTGCAGAGCCCAATAGACAAAAAACTGTGCCCTTCGTTACTGGGCGGGGACGTCTGTGTGTGTGTGTGTGTGTGTGTTAGTGTGGCGGGGTGTGTGTGTTTTCAACCCTACAACACTCAGCAGTCCCTGGAGGGCACTCCTCACGAGAGTCTGTCCTCTGCCTGAAAGGAGAGGCCGGCCAGAGGAAGGGGCAAACAGCTGAGGAGACACTCTGGCTCCATTTTTCTTTTCTTTTTCTTTGTGCAAAGTCCAACTAAATTTGGAAAGAGCGGGAACAGTATTAGAACTCTCTGTGACGGAGGTGGGCTCTGTTCTAAATTAGATGGATGGATGGATAGATGGATGGATGGATGGATGGATAGGTAGGTAGGTAGGTAGATAGATAGGTAGACAGATAGAAAGAGATACCAGTAGATAGATAGATAGATAGATAGATAGATAGATAGATAGATAGATAGATAGATAGATAGATAGATAGATAGATAGATAGATAGATAGATAGATAGATAGATAGATGGATGGATGGATGGATGGATGGATAGGTAGGTAGGTAGGTAGGTAGGTAGGTAGGTAGGTAGGTAGATGAGATAGATAAATGATAGACAGAATAGATAGATAGATAGATAGATAGATAGATAGATAGATAGATAGATAGATAGATAGATAGATAGATAGATAGATAGATAGATAGATAGATACCAGTAGATAGATAGATAGATGACAGACAGACAGACATGATAGACAGGCAGGCAGGCAGGCAGGCAGGCAGGCAGGCAGGCAGGCAGGCAGATATAATAGATAATAGGTAGGAAGGTAGACAGATAAAATAGATAACAAAGATAGATAGACGGCAGAGATAATGGATAAATTAGATGAGAGAGATTAATCAGACAGACAGACCGATGGACAGATCCCCTCTCCCGCTTTCAGCCTGGCCCTTCCTGGGCTCACCTGGGCTTTCTCAGACGGCCTCAGCTTCACCGTGTCCTCGTCCGTCACAGCGCCCAGCCTTTTCAGAGCAGGTTCTGCCGAAGGACTTGAGCCCTTCGGAGCAGAACCGAGTCCTTCTTCTTCGGATGGGTTAGGATTGTCCGGGGCCTCCAACCTGGCCATTCCAGGCTCCTTTGGTCCTTCAGAACAGTCCGAGACCCCCGTCTTGGCTGCTACGGGGCTGGCATCCCAGGTCCCGGGCCTCCTGGCCGGATGGGACTTCCCCAAGGAACGGAGGTACTCGCTGGATCTGGCAAAGGGCATTTTCTTCTTCCGCAGCTGTTGCTGGACGTCCTTGCTGAGGCTGTTCCTCACCGCCAGCCGTCCCTCCCACTGCTTCAGGAGCTCGGCGTTCACCCGGTTCTTGTAGTCCTCTCCCAGGTGAGCTCCGGCGAACCGGCAGGTGGCCCCGTACGTGCACCTGCCGAAGGTCTCAAAAAGCAGGCAGCGCCCCCCGAGGTCGGGTGGCTTGGCGGCCATGTACTCCTTCAGGTCGTGCAGGAAGCGGCACTTGGCGCCGTAGAAGCATTTTTCCACACGTTCCTTTGGAGAGAGAAAGAGGGTGCTGTGAAAGGGGAAAACTGGCAAAACCTAGGGATTTATTTTCATTTTTTTTAAATAAAAAACATATTACATTTCTGATTTGGTTCCATCGCAAGCTAAAGACCTCTGTCTCGCCAACCCCCCCTGGCTCTCTGTCAGCCTTAGCTTTTTTCAATGGTGAGGTTCTACATTTAGGCAAGAAAAACCAAATGTACAGGTATAGTATAGGGGGTACCTTGCTCAATAGTAGTAACTGTGAGAGGGACCTCGGAGTCCTAGTGGACAATCCCTTAAATAGGAGCCAGCCGTGTGCTGCAGCTGCCAAAAAGGCCAACACAGTGCTGGGCTGCATTAACAGAGGGAGAGAATCAAGATCACGTGAAGTGTTAATACCACTTTAAAATGCCTTGGTAAGGCCACACTTGGAATACTGCATCCAGTTTTGGTCACCGCGATGTAAAAAAGATGCTGAGACTCTAGAAAGAGTCCAGAGAAGAGCAACAAGGATGATTAGGGGACTGGAGGATAAAGCATATAACGAACGGTTGCTGGAATTGGGGATGTCTAGTTTAACGAAGAGAAGGACGAGGGGAGACATGATAGCAGTCTTCCAGTATCTCAGGGGCTGCCCCAAAGAAGAGGGAGTCAAGCTGTTCTCCAAAGCCCCTGAAGGCAGGACAAGAAGCAACGGGTGGAAACGGATCAAGGAGAGAAGCAACCTAGAACTAAGGAGAAACTTCCTGAGAGTACGAACAATTAACCAATGGAACAACCTGTTGCGGGTCACCACCTTCGATATACACAATATAAATATGACCCCCCCAGAAAATTGCATATACCCACATATATTCTATGACACAGAGTAACAACACAGTCTAGTTCGGATGTATACATATACTAAAGAGAGAAGCAACCTGGAACTAAGGAGAAATTTCCTGACAATTAAAACAACCAGTGGAACCACCTGCCTCCAGAAGCGGTGAATGCTCCAACACTGGAAGTTTTTAAGAAGAGACTGGACAGCTATTTCTCTGAAATGGTATAGGGTTTCCTCCAAGGTCCCTTCCAACATTATTATTACTATTATTACTATTATTATTATTATTGTGTTCTTTTCCATTCTGGAGGGACCCGTTGCCATTTCATTTATTCCATTCCATTCCATTCCATTCCATTCTATTCTATTATTCTATTCTGTTCTATTCCATTATCATTATTTTATTCTATTCTATTCTCCATTCTATATTCTATTCTATTCTCCATTCTATATTCTATTTTATTCTATTCTATTCTATTCCATTATCATTATTCAATTCTATTCCATTATCATTATTCTATTCTATTCTGTATTTTCTATTCTATTCTATTTCTATATTTTCTATTCTATTCTATTCTATTCCTTATTCTATTCTATATTATTCTATTCTATTCTCCATTCCATATTCTATTCTATTCTATTCTATTCTATTCCATTATCATTATTCGATTCTATTCTATTCTATTCTCCATTCCATATTCTATTCTATTCCATTCCATTATCATTATTCTATTCTATTCTATTCTATTCTTTTCTATTCTATTATTCTATTCTATTCTTATTCCATGCCATACCATGCCATTCTATTCTGCAACCTGTCTGATCCCATTCTATCCTATCCTATGTTATCCTAATGTGATCATGGGAGTGAATACTGCCATTGGAACTCCGGAATCAAGTCATAGGTAGGTTTTAGGGGGAGGGTTCAACGTAACATCAAATGTCACTAAGTGACCGGTTGTTAAGTGAGGACCCACCTCTATGTAGCCATTAAAACGGGACCACTTTTGTCTGTTCCGAAGCCACCCAAGGAACAGAAACGCTAAGCTAGAGGCAGAAATGTCATTTCAAGCCCCGGAGAGTGGATCCATCTCCACGCATTTGCCACCCGCGGACGACTTACGTGAACCACGGAGGGGCACAAGCGCTGCTTCTCGTAGTGAGCCGGCTTCATGCAAGGGCGGTTCTTGTTCTGCCCTCGCAGCCTCTTCCGTCCCGGAGGCCCTTGTGCGCTCTCGGCGGCAACGGCAACTTCCGCCGGCCTCTCTTCTTCGGCCCCATCAAGTTCCAGCTTCTGCAGCTTGGCGGGAGGCAGCCCCGGCTCGGCCTCCAGGTTGTTCTTCGCTCCATCTGGATCTTTCCTCGGCTTCTCTTCTTTTTCAAGGTAAGCGTGGAAATCCTCTTTCGTACAGCGGTACCTGGCGGGAGAAAGATCGCCAGTTGTAGCCCTCCGTTAATTGGGGGTTTTAAGAAATAATTAAAAAACTATATCATTACCTGCTAGATCAGACAATGTACGAGGAACAGGTGAAAGAAACCATATTAACGTGGAGCAGGGACCTCGGTCTTAACTTTGATCTACACATCTGGCCAGAATTATGGGTAAGAAACAGGAAGCTTACCTTGGCCACCTCCTACAAAGAAAACCTCTACAAAATGTTTTATAGATGGCGTCTCCCACCCACAAGGCTAGCCAAAATGGGTCCAAATTTTTCATCTACATGCTGGAAATGTAAATTGGCTGCATTAACAGAGGGATAGAGTCAAGATCACGTGAAGTATTAATACCACTTTACAAGGCCTTGGTAAGGCCACACTTGGAATACTGCATCCAGTTTTGGTCACCGCCATGTAAAAAAGATGCTGAGACTCTAGAAAGAGTACAGAGAAGAGCAACAAAGATGATCAGGGGACTGGAGGCTGAAACATATAAGGAACGGCTGCTGGAATTGGGTATGTCCAGTTTAACAAAGAGAAGGACGAGGGGGGACATGATAGCAGTATTCCAATATCTCAGGGGCTGCCACAAAGAAGAGGGAGTCAAGCTATTCTCCAAGGCGCCTGAAGGCAGGAAAAAAGAAGCAACGGATGGAAACTAATCAAGGAGAGAAGCAACCTGGAACTAAGGAGAAACTTCCTGACAGTGAGAACAATTAACCAGTGGAACCACCTGCCTCCAGAAGCGGTGAATGCTCCAACACTGGAAGTTTTTAAGAAGAGACTGGACAGCCATTTGTCTGAAATGGTATAGGGTTTCCTGCCTGAGCAGGGGGTTGGACTAGATGACCTCCAAGGTACCTTCCAACTTTATCATTATTATTATATCCCACCCAGTCACCCAAGCCTATTAATTAAACAGGCAATTCCCAAGGGTTGTTTTTTTTTTAAGGGGTGCCTGTGACTGCCCCAAAGGTGCTTTTTCAAAAGACAACTGGACTTTGTTTTTTCCCTGAAGGCGTTTCACCTCTCTCCCAAGATGTTCCTTCTGTTCTGAAGACCGAACTGAAGAAGCTTCTTGGATGAGAAGGGAAACGTCTTCCAGGAAAAACAAAGGAAGTCCAGCTGCTGCTTGAAAAAGCACCTTTGGGACAACCAAGACCTGGATGGAGGAGTCTCTCCATAAACGTTGGTACGTGACCTTCAGCATCCACTCACTGGACTCCACCGTGCAAGTTAGTCTATTTCTCCGGGTTGTATAAACAAAGAGGCATAGAATCAAGATCACACAAAGTATTAATACCGCATTATAAAACCCTAGTGAGGCCACACCTGGAATACTGCAACCCATTTTGGTCACCATTCTACAAAAAAAAAGATGTTGAGAGTTTGGAAAAAGTTCAGAGAAGAGCAACTAAGAGGATCCAAGACTAAAACATACAAAGAACGGCTGCAGGACTTGGGTTTGGCCAGTCGGAACAAAAGAATAGGGGTGACATGATAGCAGCGTTCCAGTATTTGAGGGGCTGCCACAAAGAAGAGGGGGTCACGTTATTCTCCAGAGCACCAGAGGGCAGGACAAGAAACAATGGTTGGAAACTGACCAAAGAGAAAAGCAACCTGGAATTAAGGAGAAACTTCCTGACAGTGAGGACAATCAACCAGTGGAACAGAAGTTGCCTCCAGAAATTGTGGGCGCTCCATCACTGGAGGTTTTTAAGAAGAGGCTAGACAGTTACTTGTCTGAAATGGTATAGTTCTCCTGCTTGAGCAGGGGGCTGGACTAGAAGACCTCCAAGGTCCCTTCCAGCTCTATTCTATTCTATTCTATTCCATTCCATTCCATTCTCTATTTTATTCTATTTCTATTCTATTCCTATTCTATGCCGTTACTTGAAACAGATCATTGTAGATTTATTGATTTTATATGATTGTACTTAAAAGTGTAAGCTGCACTGGGTGGTCTGAGGCCAGGCAGCCTGTAAACTGTAAAAAATAAAGATATAATTACAGTAATTTATACGGCAGACACTGGCAGATTGGGACCCGGGGCTGCTAACATAAGATTAAATCCTACACACGGCTCAGAAGTTAATGTAAACACAAGTAAAATGTTATAAATTGTTGCTTTCTCTGCAACTTTGTCTTCAGTTTCGAGTGAACTATTGTCTCTCCCTTGCTTCACACCTGTTTCATTTTGCCTTGCTTGCTTCTGTGCCAGAGACACGTCCGAGGGCAGTTACTATTTTCTTTCAGGGCCCTGCTCCGTCCAAAAGGACAAGCCCACTGACACAGGAGCGTTAAACAGGTCATTTTGTTTCCTTGATCTGCAAATAAAACACGGAAAAATGCCAGCAGAGCATTGCGTAAATTGAAGGCAGAGCAACGCCGAGCTGAATACAGTCCTCGATTTACAACAGTTCCTTTAGTGACCATTTGAAGTGACAGCAAGACAGGAAAAAAGTGATTTATGACCAAAACACACACAAAAAGAGAGAAAAAAACACAACGAACATTAAAAAGAAAAAGGGTCTTAGAAAACAAAAAGACCAGCACATATAAAGGAAGTCCTCAACGTACAGCCGTTCATTTAGTGACCGTTCAAAGTTACAACGGCACTGAAAAAAAGGGACTTGTGACTGCTTATCACACTTATGACCGTTGCAGCCTCCCTGTGGTCACTTAATCAGCACTGGGCTACTTGGCAACCGACTCACATTTATGACGGTTGCAGTGACGGGAAGGGAGGGGTTTCCTGTGAACCCCTTTTGCGTCCTTCTGACCAGCGAAGTCAAGGGGGAAACCCCTTCACCACCTGTATTACTAACTTAACCACCGCCGTGACTCACTTAGCAACTGTGGCAAGGTCGTAAAACAGGGCAACGCCCACTTCACCTGTCTCGCTTTGCAACGGAAATTTTGGGCTCAACCGTGGCCGCAAGCCGAGCACTGCCTGTCTATCTGGGAGAAGCTGATGAGAAAACTTAAAATTTTAAAAAAATCTGGCTGTTTGGGGTGTTTATGGAAACTCATTAAAGAGAGATCATGTCCATTATCTAGACCTTTTGGTCTTTCTTATTGATTCTTATTAGTCTATGATTCTGCGAGGCCCTCCTGCTCGAGCAGGGGGTTGGGCTAGATGACCTCCAAGGTCCCTTCCAACTCCATTAGTCTATGATTCTGCGAGGGCCTCCTGCTCGAGCAGGAGGTTGGGCTAGATGACCTCCAAGGTCCCTTCCAACTCCATTAGTCTATGATTCTGCGAGGGCCTCCTGCTCGAGCAGGGGGTTGGACTAGATGACCACCAAGGTCCCTTCCAACTCCATTAGTCTATGATTCTGCGAGGGCCTCCTGCTCGAGCAGGGGGTTGGGCTAGATGACCTCCAAGGTCCCTTCCAACTCCATTAGTCTATGATTCTGCGAGGGCCTCCTGCTCGAGCAGGGGGTTGGGCTAGATGACCTCCAAGGTCCCTTCCAACTCCATTAGTCTATGATTGTGCGAGGGCCTCCTGCTCGAGCAGGGGGTTGGGCTAGATGACCACCAAGGTCCCTTCCAACTCCATTAGTCTATGATTCTGCGAGGGCCTCCTGCTCGAGCAGGGGGTTGGGCTAGATGACCACCAAGGTCCCTTCCAACTCCATCAGTCTATGATTCTATACTGCCCCATTTAAACGTCTCACGGAGTTGGAGGGGACCCTAGAGGTCTTCTAGTCCAACCCACCCCCACCCCGCTTATGGAGGGGAGGCAGAGGCAGCATCCCTTCCTCCATAGGGACTTCGTAAAGTGGGGGGGGGGTTCCCACGTTCCTTGCCCCCCCCAAGGTCTGTCCCCCTCCTCCTGGCAGGTCGTAACTCCGAGGACCTCAGGCGGGGTGGACAAGAAGGGCACCCGGGGCTGTCAAGGGAGCGGGGAAAAGGCCCGGGGCGGGGAAAGGCTGAGCCTCCGAGGACCTCGGGCCGGCCGGAGCAGGTAGGCCAAAGCCCGGGGCTCCCGTACTCACTGGGCTCGGATGGGGGCCACTCCGGCCGCCTCCATGGCTGGCTTCCCTGCCAGCCTACCCGGAAGCGCTGCTGACACAGCGAAGCGCCTAGAGCGGCCCGGATGTTCTTCACGCCGCCGCTCTAGGAATTGCCCTCCGCGGATAACAGTGGCCGAGGGGGCGGCGCTTCCGAGGCTGGAAAAGCGCGGGAAAGGCGCTTCCCCTCCTCAGCGCGGGAAAAACATGTTAGCCGGGTTTCCTCAGGGGATCCTTTTTAATTAACCTCTCATGAGCCGCGGAAGAACAAAAGGGAGTGAATGTTTTCTCCGTGGAAAGAATTTCCCCTTAGGGCTTCGTCCCCTCAGCTCCCCGCCGCCCGCCCTGGGCTACGCAATTGACTCCCGCTTCAGCCAATGAGGGCTAAGAGCTGCCGGACATGGGAGACGAGGGCGGGACTCTGACCGGAAGCAACGCCGGCCGCCGAAAAAAAAAGGCGCGAACTCTGAGGTAAAACTTGCTCGGGGTGCCTCTTGCCTGGAAAACGTCCAACTGATTCTGTGTATTCAGGAAAGTGAGGACTGGAACCTTGACTCGCATTTAAGGATCGCAGCAGAGCCAGCGTGGCGGAAGACGGAGTTTCTGTCACTCCGGCCTTCTCTTTCGCGGCGGGGTCCGGGAAGCCCCCTCTTCCCGAAAGGGCGACCGAGCAAGCAAGGGGCGTCCTGCGAAAGCCTGCAGGGAGGCCCAATAACTCCCTTTGGATCACGGATTTTTCTTTATTTTTTTTCCAGCTTTCAGATGGGGGGCTCCAGCTCCCAGAATCCCCTACCCAGCCATTGGTGGATTACGGCTCCCAGAATCCCCCAGCCAGCCATTGGTGGACTATAGCTCCAAGAATCCCCTACCCAGCCATTGGTGGACTCCAGCTCCCAGAATCCCCTAGCCAGCCATTGATGGATTATGGCTCCCAGAATCCCCTAGCCAGCCATTGGTGGACTACAGCTCCCAGAATCCCCTAGCCAGCCATTGGTGGATTACGGCTCCCAGAATCCCCTAGCCAGCCATTGGTGGACTACAGCTCCCAGAATCCCCTAGCCAGCCATTGATGGATTACGGCTTCCAGAATCCCCTAGCCAGCCATTGGTGGATTACGGCTCCCAGAATCCCCTAGCCAGCCATTGGTGGACTACGGCTCCCAGAATCCCCTAGCCAGCCATTGGACTATGGCTCCCAGAATCCCCTAGCCAGCCATTGGACTACGGCTCCCAGAATCCCCTAGCCAGCCATTGGTGGACTACGGCTCCCAGAATCCCCTAGCCAGCCATTGGTGGACTACAGCTCCCAGAATCCCCTAGCAAGCTGGGGAACTTGGGAGTCTTAGGGAACTTAGAAGAACTTTACTGTCACTTTGAATACACTAATCGGCGTACATTAAAATGAAATTTTGCTGCGTACAGCCCTCGAAGAGTCACCACCTCCGATATACACAACATAAATATGACCCCCCTCCCAGAAAATTGCATATATCCACATATATTCTATGGCAGAGTAACAACACCGTCTAGTTCGGATGTATACATATACTAAAGAGAGAAGCAACCTGGAACTAAGGAGAAACTTCTTGACAGTGAGAACAGTTAACCAGTGGAACCACCTGCCTCCAGAAGCGGTGAATGCTCCAACACTGGAAGTTTTTAAGAAGAGACTGGATAGCCATTTGTCCGAAATGGTATAGGGTTTCGTGCCTGAGCAGGGGGTTGGACTAGATGACCTCCAAGGTCCCTTCCAACTTTATCATTATTATTACATGGCGAGAAAAGCAAATCTTGTGAGTTTACCAGACGGATGGCATAGGAACAAAGCTGTTACAGAATCTGTTAGTCTTGTTGCCCCCCCCCCATGCTAAAAGGGTCCAACACTGAAAAAAGCACTGCTTTGGAGAGATTCCCCCCCCATTTTGATTCTGCTGGGGAGGGGGTCTTGCCCTCTCCTCCATGTCTGGGGGAACTCGGAGGGTCTTAGCAAGGCACTTTCTGCAACTGTGTGTGTGTGTGTATGTGGACAGGAAAAAGGCTTCTTGTGTCAATGGAGCCAGACCCTACGGCAGGGGTGCGCAACAACAGCAATTTTATGACCAGAAACTTCCTAACAGTGAGGACAATCAACCAGTGGAACGGGCTTGCCACCAGATGTTGTGGGTGCTCCATCACAAGGTTTTTAGGAAGAAGCTGGACAGCCACTTGTCTGGAATGGTTTAGGGCAGGGGTCCACAACCTTGGGAACTTTAAGACTTGTGGACTTCAACTCCCAGAATTCCCCAGCCAGCGATGCTGGCTGGGGAATTCTAGGAGTTGAAGTCCACAGGTCTTAACGTTGCCAAGGTTGGGGAGCCCTGGTATAGGGTCGCCTGCTTGAGCAGAGGGTTGGACTAGACCTCTGAGATCCCTCCCAGCTGGATTATGATTGAAAACTCCCAGCATTCTTGAGCCAGCATGATTGCCTCAGGAATTCTGGGAATTGAAGTCCACAGGTCATAAAGTTGCCATAGAATAACAAGAATTGGAAGGGACCCTTGGAGGTCTTCTAGTCCAACTCTCTGCTCAAGCCGAGACCCTCTACCATTTCAGACAAGTGGCTGTCCAGTCTCTTCTTAAAATCCTCCAATAATTGGAGCACCCACAACTTCTGAAGGGAAGCCCTTCCACTGGTGAATTGTTAGGAAGTTTCTCCTTCATTCCAGGTTGCTTCTCTCCTTGTTTAGTTTCCATCCGTTGCTTCTTGTCCTGCTTTCTGGTGCTTTGGAAAGTAAGTTGACCCCCTTCTCTTTGTGGCAGCCCCTCAAATACTGCAAACACTGCTATCACGTCCCCCCCCCCCCAGTCCTTCTTTTCTCTAGACTGGCTATTCCCAAATCCTTAGATATTGGAACACTGCTATCATGTCCCCCCTCGTCCTTCTCTTCATTAAACTTGACATACCCAATTCCAGCAGCCGTTCCTTATATGTTTTAGCCTCCAGTCCCCTGATCCTCTCTGTTGCTCTTCTCTGTACTCTTTCTAGAGTCTCAACATCTTTTTTACATCGTGGTGACCAAAACTGGATGCCGTATTCCAAGTGTGGCCTTACCAAGGCCTTGTAAAGTGGTATTAACCCTTCACCTGATCTTGATTCTATCCCTCTGTTCATGCAGCCCAGGACTATGTTGGCTTGTTTAAGCGATTGTCCACTAAGACTCCCAAGATCCCTCTCACCGTTACTACTATTAAGCCAGGAACCATCTATTCCAGGGATCCCCAATCCTCGGTCCATGGACCAGTACCAGGCCGCCGCATGCTAGCAACCAGGCCGTACAAACAAACAAAGCCCCATCTGCGAGATGCAGGCAGCACTCAAAACCACGCACTCTCCGGTCCGTGGAAAAACCTATCTCCACGGAACCGGTCCCTGGTGCCCCAAAGGTTGGGGACCTCTGATCTATTTTATCCCTGTGCTTTTTTTTTCTTTCCTTGCCTTCCATCGTTGCCCATCTCCACCCTCGGGAGAAAAAAGAGGTGACAGAAGGAAATGCCCCAAATAAAATCAGCTGGACGGCCCAGCTAAAATCGTCCCTGAAATGAGAACTTGGATGTCAGCCTAGATTCAGGTTTCATGGTGGTTGAACACCTCATCTGGGCCACTTGCTTGGCTATGGTTTGGCAGGCCCTCTTTCCTGCTCTTGTTCTTCCTTCTCCTTGCTATCGTCCTCCGAACGTGTCTTCTCTTGCGTTCTTCTGGGATGACTTTCATCCCCCATGCAAGACTCAGCCTTCTGAAGAGGGTCACCTGGGCCTGCAGTTTGGATCTGATGATTCCCTTTTCCCCCTTTTCTGGAATACTTTCCTCGGTCTTAAGGAAAAATAGAATTTAAACCCGTATTCAATGGGTTAAAAAGGCTTTTCAGAGATATGGACTGATTTAATGTTTGGGTTTTAGATCTGTAATCGAGATGAAAATCATTGGTCAGATTATATTTTGGAATTGTAATATGAAAAAGGTCTTAAATGGGGAGCTATTAGGATAAGAAATAGAATATATACATGAAATAGAGTAAGAATGTAATTTTTTGAATAATATGTTTATTTTAGGTATGGTAATTACTGTGTAATGGAATGAGAACAATGAAATGGATTGTGACAATGGAAGACATGGTATTAGTAAATGAGGAGTTATTAGTATAATAGAATATATTTGGGAAATGTAAGAGTGTACTTTTTGGAATAATATGTTTATTTTAGACATTATAATTATTATGTTATGAAATGAGGGGAATTAGGGAATACCCGAAGTTTAAACAATATGCTTATTTAAGGCTAAATTGGAATATGGTAATTGGAAGTTAGTAAAGCTTAAAAACAGGATTGGTATAGGTAAAATGTTATTGATAATTTTAGTGATTGATTGAATTTTATTTAGAAATGTATTAATTTCTAAATAAAATGTATTTTATTTAGAAATATATTAATTAATATGTTATATTAATTGAGGGAGATAGAGAGGGAACTTTTAAGGAGTTAATCTGAGCTATATATGACTTTGCTTTGGGATAATTGACTACGCCATCACGTTTCCTAAGCACGTTGATGCTTTCCCCCCTTTTCTGGAATACTTTCCTGGGTCTTAAGGAATGTGGAGAATCGGTGGAGTAATGTAGAAGAGACTGACAACGTCTTTATGTTATGTATGTACACGCTTTTGAGAGCAAGCAACGAAATTTCATTTCGAATGTGTGCCAATGTGCCCAACAGTAAAAAAAATGGCAATAAAGGTCATCTATCTATCTGTCTTGGGTGTAGCCAGAAAAAGCAGAAAGTTTTTGGAAGTCTAGTTTGTCTTCCTCTTCGCCTTAGTGGGAATAAAGGTGTAATCTTAACCTTTCATCACTTGTGCCTTTGGGTGTGTAGGCTGTCACAAGTTTGGAGAAAATAAAAACTGGATTCCGTTTGTCAGGCCTCTCACGAAGGATTCAGTTTGTCAGATACTGTAGGAGGCACTATTGTGCCATGCCAGATTTTTCAAT